ATAGGCCGACGCTCTATCCTCTGAGCCAAAGCAGACAGGGCTCATGCACCTCTGAGGTGAGCTCACCCCATAAGCGCCATGATCAGAACAGGGAACCCCAGATTCTTGACCCCCTGTGTGAGCTGAGCCTGGCATCCTGAACAGTCTCCACCCCCGGCAGGGAGACACTGGCCTCAGGCCCAGCAGAGAGAACAGGCTGTGGTGGGCATCGCGCTGAAGCCAGCCAGAGGCGGCGAGCGTCCCGTCCACCTGACTGCACTCCTGCAGGTCCACGGAGCCGCACTCTGAGATTGCCGTTCACCATGGCGGCGGCTGACCATGAACTAGCACTTTCCCCTGAATCCAACGTCTCGTCCACACACCCATCCCCATAGCCATCTATCCATCCACTCACTCCTCCATCCATCTGTCCATCTCTCTACCACTGATGGTTTTATCTAACCACCCTTCCACCCATCCATCTGTCCACCCATCTATCCGTCCACCCATCCATCCATCCACCCATCCGTCCGTCCACCCATCCATCCGTCCACCCATCCATCTGTCCACCCATCCATCCGTCCGTCCACCCAGTCTCCTGCTTCCACCCTCTGGTCATCCATCCATATCTCCACCTCCCCAGCCTCCAGGCATTGCTGCCTCAGTTAGCATTTTCTCTGTGCAGTGGGGGAACTGAGATGAGTCAGGCTGAGCAGGACCAACAGGAAGAGTAAGACCACAACCAGCCCCTCTCACCCCAGATCCCTGGTGCTGTGCCCCTGCATCCCCCATCCTGACGAGGACAGGACGTTCTTACACTGCCTCACCCTCACCGCTCCCAACTTGCACGGGGCAGGTGAGCGCCAAGCACTCACCCAAGCTGGGCACCCAGCTCTGCCTCCAATCTCACTTTCTACCTACCAAACCCTTGGTCTTGTTGGGGTGAGGTGCTCCCCACTGCTCCTCACCATGGTTCCCATTTCTTGACTCAAGCTTCCCTCCATTTGCAAGTAGGCTAGCCAGGCCATCTGAAAATTGGCCTGTGACCCTCCTCCTCTTGCTTCCCTTGCCCCCAGCCCCTCACCCCAATAGGGCTGGAGTCCTGACCTCTGGTCTGCCACGCCCACTAGCCAGATGCCTGCAGCCTCCCCTCAGACGCCCCAGTTCTGGTCACTGCCCGGATCATGACTGGGCTCGCCACACCCTTGGACCGGGCTCGGGGCCGCCCCTAAGGAGCCTCCAGAGGCTGCCTCCCCCAGCCTGGCCCGCCCTGCTGCCCAGCTCTCCAGCCAGCTCCCTCCCTTCTCCCGGACGATTGCAACAATAGCTGTCCCTGGCCTCCAGTCCCCTCTCCACCCATCGCACACCAGCCGCAGGGCGCTGTCTTGCTCCTTCCCCTCGGCCTCACAATAGGGGCCAGCCTTCCAGCCAGCCCCCCCTCCTCACCGTCCCCCTACCTGTCCGCACCCAGCACACGGGAGTCCTCTGTTCTCTCCACACACATCTTGGGCTCTTCCACCTCAAGCCCTTGACTAGGCTGTGCCTTCCTCCCGGCATGCCTTCCTCCCATCTTCATTCCTCGATGTCATGCCTGACTCTCAGGCTGCGTTCAAATGACTCTTTGGGGCGCTGCAGCAAGAGAGGTAGAAGAAGAGCCGGGAAACCGCCCTGGCGGAGCGCTCAATGGTTAGAGCATCAGCCTGCGCACCGAAGGGCTGTGGGTTCGATTCCCAGTCAAGGAAGGGCCCATGCCTGGGTTGCAAGTTCGATACACAGTCCTCGCTGGGGTGTGTGCAGGAAGCAACCAATCAATGCATTTTTCTCACATCGATGTTGCTCTCGCTCCCCTCCTCCCTCCCTCCCTCCCTTCCACTCTCTCTAAAAATCAGGGGGGGAAATATCCTCAGATAAGGACATCTGCGGCTCCCTGGCCTCCTTCTCCCTGTCTGCAGAAGGCCTGCTGATTTTCCGGGACCTCCCAATCTGGAGGGATGGTCTGCTGCTGGGTAAGGCTGGGGAAGTGGAGGAAACAAGTGAGCTGTGGCTCAGGCAGAATCCCTGTGAGCCAGGCTTCTCACTTCACCGAGTCTCATTCATTCATTCATTCATTCATTCGTTCATTTGTTCATTCCGCACATGTATGGCCAGCTTTCTGGGCTCAGGGGATACAACAGGGAACAAGACAGCGACCCGGCCCTCCCGGAGCCCACAGTCTCCTGGGGCAGGAGATCTCCGCTGAGGGCATGTCGCCCGCGGGAGGAATGACAGTGGACGGTGTCTGGACCTTTGTGGCTGTCCCACTGGAGACATCCCTCTGGCCACTGGGTAGAGGCAAGGGATGATGCCAACGCCCCACACAGCACATTCGAAGGAATAATTGCCCAGCCTGAGCAGCCAGGGAGCCAAGGATGGGAATCCCTGACAGTGAGGGGTTCAGGCCCACAAGGAAGCACATGCCACTTTCGACAGTGATAAGGGCAAAGGAGAAACATGGAACAAGGCTGGGGCCAGGGAGCCGGGGGTGGGGGAGGGAAGGGGGCCAGGGACTGCCACTGGGACTGAGACCCGAAGGGAGTGAGGAAGCAGAGCATCCAAATAACTGCAGGAAGCCCTAACCGGTGTGGCTCAGTGGATAGAGCTTTGTCTGGGAACTGAAGAGTCCCAGGTTCGATTCCAGCCAAGGGCATATGCCCCAGTTGCAGGCCCACTACTTTCCTCTCTGAAATCAATAAAAATACATTAGCAACAACAACAAAACCCAAATAACTGCAGGAAGCGTGCTCCGGGTGGGGCAGAGCCGGGCAGAGGTACTGAGGGAGAAATGATCCTGGGAGTCAAGTGGCTGGAGAAGGGCAGGTGGAGGGGTTGGGATGAGTGGGTTGGGGGTAGGTCACGTGGGGCCGGAGGCTGTGGTTGAGAACTGGGCCTTTCCTCTGAGTGAGATGGGGGCCTCGAAGTTCCTGAGCAGGACCTGACTGAAAGGATCCCTCTGGCAGGACGGAGCGGGCAGAGGGGCTGGGAGAGGCTGTGATGAGAACCTGGATGACAGACGACAGTAGGGGCCAGAGGAGGAGGTCAGAGAAGGTGGTGAGAATCAGATTCTGGTCTGTTTTGAAGGGAAGCCCAAGGACGCGCTGAGAGACCGGACTCGGGTGTGGGAGAAAAAGAGTCAGGATGAGCTCAAGGCTTTGGGCCTGCGCCAGGGGAGGCCGAGCTGCCCATGTTGTGGTTCCTCACAGAAGCCGGTAAGCCTTGTCCATGCTTCACGTGTGCCCAGAGGTAGACCTCGACAGCACCACCTCCGGGCACAGAGCAAGTACCTCCAAAGCCCTGGTCCTCAGGGGCCGCCCTGGGCCCACCCCCGCCCAGATTCGCTCCAAAGACTAAGGAACACTTGCCTCATGCTTTGCAGCTGACAAAGCACATTTGCAAACACTGAGGGCTGTGATACAATAGCCCCTTGAGCAGCGCGGCCCTGACTCATTACCCCTGTTTTGCAGATAAAAATGGAGACCCAGAGAGGGCTAGCGACTCCCCTGCAGGCACACAGCCCCCCCCAGTAGCAGTGAAAACCGTGGAGGAGCAGAAGCTCTCCTTCAGGTCCCCACTCCCAGGTCCAACTGCTGCCAAGAGCAGCGGGCGTGCACGGGTTAATCTGACAGCCGGCTCCCCAGGGACCATCCTGGACCAGGGCTCAGAGCACAGGCCTCCGGAGGCCTCCGAGAGGAGCAGGGGGAGGACCCTGGCCAGGCCCCGAGGACAGGGAGGGCTCCACACATGCAATGCCGGTGTCATACACACGTGTGTCGCTGTGTGCCCCATGCCCATACATGGTCTCTCACCAGTTCCCTAAGGGCAAGCCCTGCTCACCCCCGCAGCCCGGCCCCTTCCCCCACAGCCTGCCCTCCTGAGAAGCATTTCCTGTTTGGGGGCGGCCTGCTTTCCCTCCCAGCCCAGGTTCCCAGGACCCCAGGCTGAGCAGAGGTTTAGGGAGAGCAGCCGCTGTCCCTCCTCCTTCCCCACACCCCCAGGCCAGCTGGAGCAGGAAGCCTGGGGCGAGGGGGAGGTTGAGGCAGAAGCTTAGGTTGTAAACGAGGGACGTCTGTGCCTGGCCCTGGCCGGCAGCTCGGCAGCTCGGCTAGCTGGAGTGTCATCCTGACCGAAGCTGAGGCTGCATCTCCCCACAGACACGTACAGAATCAACCAATTAAAACATAAGCAAGCGGAGCAACACACTGATGTTTTCTCACCCCCGACTCCCTTCCTCTCTTTCTCTCTCTCTCTCTCTCTCTCTCTCTCTCTCTCAAATCAACAGATAAAAAAAAATTTTTTTTAAAGAAGTCTGTGCATGCTGTGATGAAGGGACTCGCTGCCATGTGCTGGGGCATGTAGAATGTGCGTGCACCTGGGGTAGCATGTCAGAGCACGTGAATGTGTGGGAAGGGGGCTGCAGGCCTGCGTGGATCTGTAGTGAGGGGAAGGGCTTAGCATGTCAGACGGTGTGCAAACCTGGTCCATGGAGAGAGCTCTCGTGTGGGGAGAGGAGCATACACACGCGTGTAATGTGAAGGGCATGAGTCAGAGAATGTTTCCACATGCAGGGCAAGCTGTTGGCCTGGGAGACTGCTCAGGGGTGTGATGAGATTGGTGTGTCCAGATTTGGGTCACGGCCGGCCGGTCTCTGGGAAGTGACCTCACCCCACCCAAGAGCCCGGGGCTGCGCTGGGTTTTCCAGGGTCGTTCAGCCTCTCCAGGCAGCCTGGTGACTCCCCACCTCCGAGTGCTCCCCCTCCCCTCCCCGCTCCCCGCCCCAGCGCCCCCTGCCCCTGCCCCGCCCGCCCGCTTCCTGCTCGGGCAGCCCCCCCCCCCCCCTCGGGGAGCGGAGCGGGAGCTGGCGGCGGCCCCAGCCCGCTCCTTACAAGGCTTCGTCCGCGGCCCGCCCCGGCCCGCCCCCAGGCCCAGGCCCGCCCCCTGTCAAGAGCGGCCGCGGCCCCGGCCCGGGCCAGTCGGGGGGCGTCGCGATGCTGCTGCGCCTGCTGCTGGCCTGGGCCGCCGCGGCGCCCGCGCTGGGCCAGGCGCCCTGGGCCCCGGAGCCCCGCGCCGCCTGCAGCCCCGATGGCTGCTACGCGCTCTTCCCGCGGCGCGGCACCTTCCTGGAGGCCTGGCGGGCTTGCCGCGAGCTGGGGGGCGACCTGGCCACGCCGCGGACCCCCGAGGAGGCCCAGCGCCTGGGCAGCCTGGTGGGCGCCGGCCCGGCCAGCGGGCTGCTGTGGATCGGCCTGCAGCGGCAGGCCCGGCAATGCCAGCCGCAGCGCCCGCTGCGCGGCTTCACGTGGACCACGGGCGACCAGGACACGGCCTTCACCAACTGGGCGCAGCCCGCCTCCGGCGCGCCCTGCCGGGCCCAGCGCTGCGCCGCCCTGGAGGCCGCCGGCGAGCACCGCTGGCTGGAAGGCTCCTGCACGCTGGCCGTGGACGGCTACCTGTGCCAGTTCGGCTTCGAGGGCTCCTGCCCGGCGCTGCCGGAGGAGGCCGGCCAGGCCGGCCCCGCCGTCTACACCACGCCCTTCCAGCTGGTCTCCACCGAGCTCCAGTGGCTGCCCTTCGGCTCGGTGGCCGCCGTGCCCTGCCGGACGGGCAGGGAGGCCTCGGTGCTGTGCGTGCGGCAGCCGGGGGGCGGGGTGAGCTGGTCGCGGGCCGGGCCGCTGTGCCCGGGCGCCGGCGGCTGCAGCCCGGACAACGGGGGCTGCGAGCAGGAGTGCGTGGAGGAGGCGGACGGCCTGGTGTCCTGCCGCTGCTCCGAGGGCTTCCGGCTGGCGGCCGACGGGCGCGGCTGCGAGGACCCCTGCGCCCAGGCGCCCTGCGAGCAGCAGTGTGAGCCCGCCGGGCCCCTGGGCTACAGCTGCCACTGCCGCCTGGGCTTCCGGCCGGCGGAGGACGAGCCGCACCGCTGCCTGGACACCGACGAGTGCCAGATCGCCGGCGTGTGCCAGCAGATGTGCGTCAACTACGTCGGCGGCTTCGAGTGCTACTGCAGCGAGGGCCACGAGCTGGAGGCCGACGGCATCAGCTGCAGTCCCGCCGGGGGCGCGGGGGCCCGGGCCTCCCAGGGCCTCGGGGAGCAGCTGCTGGAGGACGGAGAGGACGCAGAGGACGAAGACGACGGCGGTGAGGCCTGGGAGGACTTCGATGACGGCTGGACAGACATGCCCGGGGTGCCGTGGATGGGGGCCACACGGCCCCCCGACTTCGGCCTGGCCTACGGGCCTCGCTTCCCCGAGGACCGGGAGCCACAGATGCTCTACCTGGACCCCACCTGGCCTCCCCCGCTCGGTGCCCCCAGGGCCCCCCATCACTCCTCGGTGCTCTCCGTCACCCGGCCCGTGGTGGTCTCGGCCACACGCCCGACACTGCCCTCTGCCCACCAACCTTCTATCATCTCCGCCACACGCCCACCCCTGGCCCCGGCCCCGGGGCACCCTAGGGTCCCTGCCATGCACCCAGCTCTGCGCCCTGACCACCCGTTCCCCGTGATCTCCGTCAACTACCCAGATCTGCCCTCTGTCCGCCAACCTCCCGTTACCCCTGCCCCTAGCCCAGCCCGGCCCCCTGCCCCTCAGCACCCTAGGGTCCCGGCCATGCACCCAGCTTTGCAGCCTGATCAGCGGTTCCCCAAGATCTCCGTCAACTACCCAGATCTGCCCTCTGTCCGCCAACCTCCTGTTAACCCTGCCTCTAGCCCAGCCTGGCTCCCTGCCCCTCAGCCCCCAGCCATCTCAGCCCAACACCCTGAACTGCCCACTGCCCCCCAGTCTCCCATGTTCCCAGACGCCCAGGTGGCTGGCTCCCAGGCCACCACCCATTGGCCTGGAATCCCAGCTGGCCACACCCCCCTGGCCACCGCCCCCAGTGCTCACCAGTCCCCTGTGACCGCAGATGTCCCGGCTCTCAGAGCCCGGGCCACCCACCTTCCCAGAACCTCCGCTCTCCAGCCTTCTCTGAGCACTACCTCCAGCTCCCCCTCGGACCCTGCCCGTCGAGTCCCTGTGCCTGCTGCCGCCCAGCCCCCAGGCCTCCCCACCCCCCTGCCCCCTCAGAGCCCCACCAACCGGAGTGCCCCGTCCAGCCCCGCACACACTTCCTCCAAAGCCCCGCAGGTCCCGAGAGCGGGCGCCTCTCCTCCCACGCTGACCCCAATGCCCTCAGCAACCCCCGCAGCGGCCCCCACGGCCCTGGGGGAGGCCAGTCCTGCGGGCCGGAGCCGGAGGGATGACCGGTGGCTGCTGGTGGCACTCCTGGTGCCCACGTGCGTCTTCCTGGTGGTCCTGCTCGCCCTGGGCATCGTGTACTGCACCCGCTGCGGCCCCCACGCGCCCAACAAGCACATCACGGACTGCTACCGCTGGGTCACTCACTCGGGGAGCAAGGGCCCCCCAGAACCCACGCCCCACCGGGGCAGCCTCACGGGCGTGCAGACCTGCAGAACCAGCGTGTGACGGGCCCCGCGCCCGCTCCGTGCGGGGAGGGGAAGGGGCGTGCATTGGACACGTGACCCGGACGACGCCAGTGACCATGGGGGTCGCCCAGATGGACAGAGGGCTTCCCGCTCCCGGGGCACCGCCCGGCTCCTCTCGGTCAACCACTAGACCTGACTCGTGAGGACTCTGCTCCGTGGTCTGGCACCTACGACAGAGGGGCAGCCGAGGCCCCGGACCTCAGGGTGGGTGCTGGGTGTGCTCCAATAAACCGGGTGCCAGCCGCCTCCGAGGCTCCTGACCCTGAGGGGAGGGCCTGGGAGGATGCAGAAAAAAAGGGGAACTGCCTTCAGCTTGGCTGGGTCCCCCCAGGAAACGAGGTAAGGCCCTGGAAGGGAAGGTATGCTTCAGAGATGCTCAGAGAAGTGGGAGCGCAGAGAGGGCAGAGCCTTGCCCGCGGTTACCCAGAAATCCAGGAAATGGGAGGCTTGGGGTGGAGAATTCCATATTTGTGCTTTCTACCAAAACCCCAAGGAGGTAGGGCTGAGTCTGGGGGAGGGCTCTGGAAGGAGAGCTTCTGCTGAGCTGGAGCCCAACTGGGGTGTACAGGTTAGAGGTAAGCCGTGGGCCTGGTGATGCTGGGGTGAAGGGGCCTCGTGGGTGAGCCGCTCCTAACTCTCCCTCTGGTAATTCCCTCCCCGGCCCCGCAGGCTGCCCTGCAGCTGGTGGCTGGGCTCGGGTCACTCAAGGGTGCCACCCCTCCTCTGGAGGGCTCCGGGGGCACTCCTGCTGCCGGGAGGAGCTGGGAGTCGGAGTCCCCAGGCGAGGCTGGGAGAGCACTACCTAGCCCAGGAGAGCTGGTCCAATCCAGCCCCCAAGGCCCTCCCGTCCTGGCCACATTTCACCCTTCTCCATGGTGTGGGCCAGAAAGGACAGGGACTGCAGCTCCAGCGAATGTTCAGGCTGCTCCAGGCGAAATTCCCATAACCCGGGGGAGGGATGGTCCACTTCACAGCCTGGGAAAACTGGGCAACGGCCAGCATCCGGGGCTCAGTGCCTGGGCACAGGGGTGGAGGAGCCGGAGCGGGAGGTGCCGGTCACCGCCGAGCCTCTAATTAGGACGGAGCAGAACCACCACGACCACCCGCGCAGGCGAGGCGGGGTGGCCCACAGGCCCCTTCCCCACCAGGTACCCAAGCCACTGCCTGGCCCCGGGGCCTGGCCTGGGCTGGAAGGCTAAACTGGGCCCCAGGGACTAAGGGGGACTAAGGACTAGAGGCCGGAGCTGGGGACTAACCTGAGGGCGGAGGGGGGGCGGAGTGGGGCGGAGGGAACCTACACCCAGCCCCCCGCCCCCTCTCACGGTTCCCTAACTGGAACCAGACGCCCCAGCAGATCCTGCCCAAGTTTTTAACCTCAGAGACGCCGCCGGAGCAGTTTGCTGCATGGGCGTGGGGGTGGCGGGGTGGCCCACACGCCCGAGTCTGGGAAGGAGGTGCGTGCGCCGCCCTGGGGGTGACGAAGCCTGCCCGGGGGAGAACGGCCGGAGCTCCCTCCGGTGACCCCGGGCTGGGGATCCAGAGGTCTCCACGAGGCAGGAAGGAGTTAAACGCACGGCCTGGGAGGGAGGAGACGGGAGTGGCGAAGGGGGGCCCAGGGCCGGCTCTTTGTCATACCGTAATGAGCACCAGATGCGGAGCTGCGTGCGGCCGAGCAGACGGCCTCCCAGGGCCGCGCCCCGCCCGCGCCCGGCCCAGGCTCTTCCCAGGCCCCGAGCCGCGTCTCAGGCTCCGCCCACCGGCTCTCAGGCCCCGCCTCCTCCAGACCTCCGCCTACCAGCGGGTCCCAGAGCCACGCCCACTGACTGCCGCCCAATGCCCTCGGGAGCTTTCCGAGGCCACGCCTATCAGCGCTACAAGCCACGCCCCCTGCCAGCTCAGTCTCAGGACCAGTGCCCCGCCCCTTTGGTAGCCCCGCCCAGAACGGAGCCATACCAATGCCCCGCCCACCCGGCCGTAAGCCCCGCCTCCTCAGCGCGGTGTGCGGCGTCTAGGGGAGTCATTAGTTCCGGTTTCCAGGAGGCACACACGGGGTCCGACCTGAGGTTATCCTTTCTCCTCACGAAGCCCCGAATAACAACTAAAACTCTGCCCCTCCCCGGAGCCGGGGGCTCGGCCCACAGCGCAGGGATCTCCACAGACAGTGACTGTCGCAGAGATGCTAACTCTGCCCTCTGGGAATGTACGCGGTCCCCTCAAACCCTCAACCGCCTCTGCAAACTCCGCCCCCAACCGCGAGCCCCGCCCCCTCGCCAAGGGATACCAGCCGTAGGGGCGGAGCCCCGGGCCCGCCTCACCGAGGAAAGAACTCGGCCCACGCACGCTCTCCCCTCACACTGAGGTAATGGCCCACCCCTACAGAGCGCCGGGCCGCCCAGTAAAAATGCCCGCGAACCAAACCGCGGCGGCCCCGCCCGCCCCGCCCGCCCACAGCGCCCCTCGTTCACGGGGCTTTTCGCACAAGCACCGCCCACGTGGAGAGCGTGCCCAACCTCTTCTCCCAGGTCTCCTCCTGCCGGCTCAAGCCCCGCCCACCGGCAGCCCCTCCTCCTGTGAAAGCCCCGCCCACCGTTCGCCCCGCCTCCTCGGGCTCAAGCCCCGCCCCTCTGGGCTTAGGACCTTTGAAGTCTCTCATCACCTTGTGGGTCAGAACCCCTCGTCGTCCTGGACCAAGTTACCCCTGAACCCTGCCAGGCGCCCTCCCTCCTTCCCCACCCGTGGCTTCCGTGCGTCAGGATTGCGGATTCTCCGGAGGGAGCTCTGACCCGGGGCAGAGCCCAGCGCACGGCGTGGATGAATGGGCCTTTGGTGCCCCCTGCCTTCCGCACCGCAGCTTGCAGCCAGCGGGAGGCCTCGGTCCGGCTCCTCTCCCAGAGCGCACTGGTGCTCAATAAACAGTTGCCTCATTCATGTTGTTGTTACTCAGATATCTGCCAGCTCCTTACTCCAACCCCTCAAGCAGCAGACCTGTGGCAGGCGCCCTCCATTGTATTTGAAAGACCTCAAGGGGCTTTGCGCCGGCCCTCAAGCCATTCTGGGAGCTGAGATGGCCCCTGCCCGCCAGTCTTTACAGAGGCTGGTGGGACTCGTGTGGTCCCTTCCCCACGAATCCTGTTTCCCAGTGGGGGGAGGAGCAGAATTGGTAGGGCTAGGTCCTCCCCTAACCCAACTTCATTCAAAGTGTGGACACCTTGGGGGGGGCGGTGGAGGGATGGAGTGAGTTTGGGCTCAGAGGCTCTCACGTGGGAGCTGAGAGTCACACTTTTGGGAGCGGGATTTCACAGCTGATCTCTATATCAGCACTCATCACTACATTTGAAAGCATTCACCTGCTCACTCCCACACAAAATCGGGGCTCCGGGAGGCCAAGGCAGTTGAGATCAGCTCTCGGAGCTCAATAAAATGCTTTTCAAACATTGCTGGACAGGTGGTGGCTAAGGTGTGTGTGTGGGGGGGGGGCGGGGGGGGCAGAACTCGCACCACTTGAGCTCAGTGAGGTGCTAGCACCACGGGTACCTGCACTCTCTGCACTGAGCCTCGGCCGGAGCCACCACCTGACAAACTCAGGCCTGGGGAGCATCCCTGATGCCCGGCTACTATGAATGGGAGAAGGGTTTAGTGCCAAGTGTTAATGAAAATACTGGCTGCTTGTTGTATGCCTAGTCCTGATCTAAGGGCTTTGCATGCCTTAACCGGTAGTCAGCAGACTGCCGACCACTGCCTCAACCCACTTAAGATCCATAACAATGCCAACAAGTAAGTGCTCTTCTTACCACCGCTTACAGGGGAAGACGGAGACACCAGCCTGAGTGCCTTGCATTCGGCCGCCTGCCCTATTTGGTCGAGTCAGTAAGTGGAGGTTTGAACCGGCCCTGCTCGGGGGCTGTGATCTTCACCCCTCGAGCAGGGCCGGTCCATAATGATAGCCATGTCTCTGATCAGAAAATGCCCACTATTAAAAATAAATAAGTAGCCGAGACCGGTTTGGCTCAATGGATAGAGCGTTGGCTTGGGGGAATGAAGGGACCCGGGTTCGATTCTGGTCAAGGGCATGTACCTTGGTTGCGGGCACATCCCCAGTAGGGGGTGTGCAGGAGGCAGCTGATCGATGACTCTCTCTCATCGATGTTTCTAGCTCTCTATCTCTCTCCCTTTCTCTCTGTACAAAATCAATAAAATATTTAAAAAATGGATATAAAATTCCATTAAAAAATAAAAATAAAAATAAATAAGTAGCCGAAACCAGTTTGGCTTAGTGATAGAGCATCGGTCTGCGGACTGGAAGGTCCCAGGTTCGATTCCGGTCAAGGGTGTGTACATTAGTTGTGGGCACATCCCCAGTAGGGGGTGTGCAAGAGGCAGCTGGTGGATGTTTCTCTCTCATCGACGTTTCTGGCTCTCTATCCCTCCCTCTTCCTCTCTGTAAAAAATCAATAATATATATATATTTTTATTAAAAATCAATAAAATATATATTTTATTGAAAAAATAAATAAAAATATATATATTTAAATATATTTTATTGAAAAATCAATAAATATATATATTTTAATATATTGTATTGAAAAATCAATAATATATATATATTTTTAATATATTTTATTGATATTTTACAGAGAGGAAGGGAGAGAGATAGAGAGCCAGAAACGTCAATGAGAGAGAAACATCCACCAGCTGCCTCTTGCACACCCCCTACTGGGGATGTGCCCACAACCAAGGTACATGCCCTTGACCGGAATCGAACCTGGGACCTTTCAGTCTGCAGACCGACGCTCTACCACTGAGCCAAACCGGTTTCGGCAAGAAAATATATTTTTAAAAAAATAATAAATAAATAAGTAAATAAATAAATAAATATAATGCCCACTATTAACAAAACAAAAACAAAACAAACAAACAAAAAAACCCAAAAACACCAAAACCCTCCTAGCCCAAAGCTTTTCTGGAAGAAAGCATTCATTG